ACAGCAGAGATCATCTACTCTGTCCTCGGCAGAGAAGCTGGTAGTTTTTCTGTGCTATAATTAGACAGTGCCAAAGAATGCACATTATGTCACAGGAATTAGTCTTGTGGCATTCTCACGTTTGCCTTCCCAAATGAAGGAAATATCTTTCAGTGACAGCTCTTATGCCAAGGGAGTAATGTACTAAGGGAAAAAAATATCCTCAGACATCTGGTCAAGAACAGACAGTCTTCATTCATCAATGCAGTTTAAAAAGGAAAGGTGAGTGGTCTACTGCTGAGTATATACTGACATATATATATATATATATATATATATATATATATATATATATAGCTTCTTGTCCCTAGAATTCCTATCATGAGCACAGCTTGTAGTGTTTTGATAGCGGTTTTACTTCGCATCTGTTCATTTAACAATGTGTACTTCCCAGATTATGTCAGCTTTGTCCTCTGTAGGTCCTTTAGTGAAGGGGAGGATGTATCTGTTTTCCATCACTGCAGCTTCCTCCCAGAGGACAATCTGGGGATTTTGCAGTCTGGTTTATTGCAACAAACCAGGCAGAACCTGCTACAAATCAATAACATATCTGGTCTCTTATGAACATATTAGTGAATCCAAATCCACTTGTTCTGATTTGAGCAAAACTTGTGAAATAGAAGCTCCCTGGAAGCCAATGAAGTTCCAAATCCATGAGCAGTACATACTGGACCAGCTACCTAGTGCAGATGGAAAAACTGGGTGATTTGTGTAATGGGTCAGAAATTAAAACTCATTGCAATACTAAATTTACTGTGTACTTTCTTGTGCATTGTTAGTGTTACTTGACTGATATTTTTTTACAACAGCTTCATGTCATACAACTTGTTGCTTTCTGTGCCTTAAATAAATGCAATTTCAGCTTAGGGTAACAGAGTGGATATTCACAGTTTCATCTTGTGCTATTTCTGCAACTGTTAGAGTAGCCATCCCCCAGTAGTAGCAATCAGAGAAAGGAATTAAAGTGTCAAACCCATGGCCGAGAGATCAAAGCATGGCATTTTTCTTGAACAAATAAAAAGAGTGTCTACTGTTCTGTTCTCTCATGCACAAAGTTGCCATCTTGGAACCTGATGCAACTCTTAGAAATCTTGCAATTTTTCTTTACATTCCTGTTTCCATTATTTTCAAAATTAATTCCCTACAATCTCCAACAATAAATGTCATTCTAAGCCACAGGGATTTTTAAAATTCAACAATAATACATGCAGTTAGTGGGACACTGCAGTTACTTAGGCAACTATAGCACCTCCTTTCAAAACATAACGGTTACATTGTAAAGTTCTTGGACATTACATAGATTAGAAAATAATGCCATGCTCATTTAGTAGTAATTTTATAATATGAACATTATACTATCACAAGTTTACCCCACTGACTTTGTTATAAATGTGATTTGTTTCGTCAATTTATTTTTCTCTCGACCACTTTAGCCACCACAGAGAGGTAGCTATTTTCAATAAACACCAACACAAGCCACTGGTGTCAGGTGCCAGGTCTCAAAGTCAAGTGAAAGCACAGCACTCTCAGCTTTCTTCTCTGGGCAACAAAACCTCTGGATGTAAAAATATGAAATAAAAACCTAACTTATGTGCAGTACAATTGCACCTTGCTTGCAATGTTCTTATGCATAAAATACATTAAAGTAATTGTATCTACATGGTCTTAAAGCCAATTTTAAGACTAAATTTTAAGCCAATCTGTTTAGTTTTTGAGATTCAAATATTTAATAGTTGGATGTTGACAGTGCTGCATAACTAGCTGATGGAGACATTGCATGAAGTGAATCACAGTTCCTACAGCTCTTCTGGGGTATAGGGATTTTGCTTGCTTTTGGGGAAGTGGAAGAGAGAGATCTTTGCATACAGCAGGAACAGCAGCTAATCACACCCCACTGTGAAATGATTAAAATACAAAGAGAGAGATCTAGCTTCCTCCTAGACAGGAGATTTGTATTTGCTGATCACAGAAGCCAGCCCTTCAGTGGCAGTGTAGCTTTTAGTTGGTAGTAATACTTCAGTCTGCTGCAGAGATTATTCCAGGTGGTCAGTTTGGAAAATGGCAGTACCAATTCCAAGAAAATGGTTGAAACAACACCAGACATCCTCTTGATAGAAAAGCTCATTACCACGAAAGAGTACTGAGCAAATTACTGTGCTACTTAGGCTTGCTTTACTGATGTAAGAACTGTGTGTCTGCTGCCTCAGAACCTTTTATCTTTTATCCTTACTGTTGTGTACTTGGTAAAATAAAATAAATATATGTAATTTATAAATGTTTTTCTCCTTTGCAAATCTCATGTGTTCTAGACAGACCAGTAAATACTATCTCATTTTACAGCTGAATTAAAGGCAGAGGAAAAAAGAGCAATTTTCAAAGGCTAACATAAGGAAGAACACAAACAGATTCTTTTCATCTATCCTCAGTCTGTTGGAACCAGGACCAGCCAGCTTGTGGATGCTGAAGGCAGCTCTTATTTCTGCTGTGAGCTGGACCAGTGCAGCTATGCTGTAGTGACAAGACCAAATTCTGCGAAACATCCTCCACACCACGAACTTTTCTATCATTCTTATCAAAGCATGGGCTGGTTCTCATTTGGGTGATGTTTGGGGAATTCCACATCAGAGACCTGAGCTAGCCCTAACGATGGAGATCTCTCCATGTGGGCTCCATGCTCCATTTTATCTGTAATGTTCTTTCTAGATGAAAAATCCCAGTGATAGAGGATACATAGTGCTAAAAGCAATATTCATCTTTCCATACAGGTGACTATTTCTGTTCTAGTATCTATGCTTGGGTTTTTTGTGCTGTTCTTTTATTACAGCAACTTCTACATATCCTCCCAATACCAGAGTTCCAAGGCCAAATTTAGCATGAAACACACAAGCAGAGGCAATTTCTACTTTTTAACAGCTCACAGAGTGAAACTAAACATACAAGAATGAATTGTTGCATGTTACTCTCCCCACAAAAATGTGAGAAAATTTTCCAGATACTAAACAATATTGATATATGAGTTGAAAAATACACCGATAAAATCCTGAAGGAGCAATCTGCTTCTGGAATAAGGATATCCACATAGGGTGTTAGGTGTAATAGAGGGAAGATGTCACGCCTGCCTTCTAAACCTCCTGATGTTGATTAATCTTAAATTCTGAATCCATAATGTAGTCCCTGAAGATGGATTACTATGTAAAACGCTGTTCTTTCCTGCAGGACTGAGCAAGCCTGAAGTTTACATTTCCCACCTTAAAGCAAACAGGAAGTCTGCAGCCAAATTGCAGGGCGAACTTGCATCTCCTGTACTCCAGTTCAAACTGGGTTTTTAAAGACCACTTTTCGCTTCTGCTTCAGTTAAGAATCTCATTCAGGTTTCATTTTCTTTATAGGTTTGCTGTAACCTATGACTTTCAGACTTTGATATACCAGACCCATCCATGACTCATGTCAGCTGATTCCTATGCAACAGGAGGGGCACAGGGAGAGCAATTCCTCTCTGCAACATGTGCAGATGGACTTGTAGTGTGGTGAGTGCAGCACTGATCAAAGGCAGCGCAGCAGGGCTTGGGAGCTTCCCTGAAATGTCAGCTGTGTTCCCAGCATCCAGAGAAGGATGGAAGGGAAGAAGAATATGGGGAGGAAGAGGGTAGGGACAGAGGTTCTCAACTTCAGTATGAAGTTGTTTAAGACTGGAGTATTTACCTTATGTATTCTTCCCTTGGAAAGTCTCACAAAGGAGGTCACATCATGACATCTGATGTATAATTTTTACAGGAATAACCAAGTGTTTTACTCTTTCATTACTTGTCTAATAGCCGGCATCTGCCTAGAAAAGAGGGAATCATCTTAGGACATCAGACACAGTCATTACATGGATAAATTTAGGCGAGGTAGGGAACTTAGATACTCTGAGATCACAGGAATATTCCCACTAGCTAAAGACGATGATTCATCAGGAAATGTTAATGTAGGGTCACAGGCAGAAAAGTAATAGGACAGAAGCACAAATAAATTGGATTTATCCTAAACTTAGCTTCTAGCATTTTCCAGCAGGAAAAGCGCGTAATTGATATGGGCAGATATGGTGGGATTTCAGTACGCTGAGAGAGGAGAGAGAACTATGCTTCAGTCAGGATCATGAAAAGAAGGAGATAGGTCTTTGTAGGATTGTGCTGCTTCAGCTTTCCTGCTCGTGCTCTGTGCTTTATGCTACTAGCACCTGACAGATTCACTTATGGTAGCAAAGCACGTTGAACCAAATGGTGTTGTCATGACCAAGGGATTAATGTTAGAGTCTCCAGGTCTGGATGGATTGTCTAAATTGATTCAGAATGGCTACATGCTTCCCACTTTTTCATCGGCCTACACAGGGAGGATTTTCTTTGCCAAAAAATGACCAGTCTCCTAGACATAACAATAAAATAAAGTGAAATGGCCCCTCCCTATAACTTTACACCTCTCAGCACTCACATTATCCTACCTCATTCACATGAAGAAAAACTTTCAATCTTTTTACTTCAATGTTTATAAGACCATCAACATGGAATACAACTTCAATGCAGCAGGGTGAAGACAGGAAATTACAAAAAACCTGTGAAGCATAAGCCACATATTATTAGATTCTGTCCCTCGAGGCCCCAGCTGTCCCTTCCCTTCCCTTCCCTTCCCTTCCCTTCCCTTCCCTTCCCTTC